TGACCACACCCCCATTACTCATCTCAAATCGTCTGCCTATGTTCATGTCTCTTCTGCCTATGCTAATAAACCTCTCACTCTGACCTCTGTGCTTATTTTTTACTTCCACAATAACAAAAATGGGTTTATTTTTTGAGAGCCCAGTCCCCAAAATTTCATTTTAGTACCAAGAATGGCTGTAAACGGCCTGGCCACACCCATAGTCTGATACCACACTCAGAAGAGGATTGAGCTGCGTAGGGGTATCCTAGAGGCAATAATGAGCATTTTTGACTGAAGTGCTCTTTACCCGTCACTGAGATTTTCCAATTTGAAGGAGTTAAAGTGCACCTGTCCCCAAACTATGGATATATGCATATTCTTAACACATAGTAGGAAAGCAATAAAGCAAGCTGGTGCTCTACATTGACCTCTGTAGCTGCAGACACTGTGCAGAAAGTCATCTTCCAAGCTCACAAAGGAGGACCTCTGGCTGCAATACTTACCTCCTCTATGCCGTCCTTCACTGACTCAACCCTCTGTAATCCAGTGCCACTCCTCTTTCAGGTTGAATGACCCCCATCATCGTCTAAACTGCTTTTTGTGATCCCAGGTGGTCATGGACACACCCCCTGAGTGTCCATCGTCATGTAGGCCTGGGTTGACAGTACTCCTAAACAGAATGGCGCTTGCACTTTATTATGTAAGCACTGCGTTGTCCAGAAGTAAAGACTGCCCACCATCAGAGGAGAAGAACCCATGACAGGTAAGAAGACTGCAGAAAACAAATTTTAAAAAATAAAATATATATATATTTGGATTTCTAATACAATAGGTGTAGGGAAGGGGGTAGTGGGGTGCAGAAGACAGGTCAGAAGACTGCAGAAAAAAATAAAACAAAAGTAAAATCTATATATATATATATTTGGATTTCTAATACAATAGGTGTAGGGAAGGGGGTACAAAGTTGTCCTTGATGTGTGGGGCTGTGGTTGACAGCCTGATATCACTTTCTCTCTGCTGTGCAAAAAGAACATTGGTGCCCAACTGAGAACCAACCAGATCCTATGGGACAGACAGGAGCAAAGTTTTCATTCACTGATTATAAGCTTAATAGTTCATCATGTTTGGAAGAGCATTTGTAACCAATGGCAAAAGGATAAATGTGTTATAATTGGTTGCTTTGCTCAACAAAAATGGACGATCCCTCAGGAACTTTCATGAAATAAGTCCTGGAAAACCATGAGACCTGAATTTATAACATAAGCATTTTTTTTTTTAAATAAGTAAATTGTAAACATGTAAGCCGCGGAAAAATTGGTTCGGTTCGGATATTTTGGGATTCAGGTCCGAAATTCAATTTGGTTCAGGGTTTCGGATTAGGACCAAATCCGAATTTTCGTTAGTTTTGGATAAGTTTACAAACAAATACTACTAAATACTAATACTAAAGCTGAATCTCCCAGACCCGAATGGCATTCGGGATCCGAATTCCCAATCTGAAATCGGGAGCTCTGCAATGCCATTCGGGTCTGGGAGCTATACATATATGACTAAAGCTAAGGCTCCCAGACCCGAATGGCATTTGGGAGCTTCTGAATCCAATTCGTAAATTCAGATCCCGATTGCCATTCAGGTTTATGAGCCTCAGCTTTAGTATTATATGTATATACTGTATATGGCTCCCATGTTGCCGTAACAAAAATTTGTGTTCATTTGGATGCATTAAACCGAAACACACAGCTGATTGGCCAGAAAAGTCACATGTCCGATTCATTTTTGTTTTTGGATGAAATTCCGACGGGATCCGAAATACGGAAATTCGGAATCGGATGCATTGGGATTAAAAAATTCAGATATGTCATAAAAATTTTGATTTGGACTGAAACGAATCGCACATGTCTAGTGAATTGTCAACAAGCACATAAAGTGAAAAAGAGACAAAGAAACGGGACACATCAGAGAAGAGCTGAAATAAATTACTTTAACAATGAAGAACAGGGTCATATTTACAAAGGTCCTGGGGTTTGGCACAGATAAAAAGATTTGAAACAAGAGAAAAGGTCACCCTCCCATAAAGAACGTAACATATCACCTTCTCACAAGCAAGCCCACGGCCTCTCATTCACAGACACAGCTACACAGTCAGCTCGGCCTACCAAAGCCCGACGCTTCCACCGCGTGATGTCAAGGACAGCAGCAAATTAGTGAGCTGGGAACCCCTCTAGATATTGTGTCCTATCTCATCATGGCTTCAAAATCAATTAAATTTTCACAAGGTCATTTTTTTCAAGCATGGTTTCCATATGGATTGGTGGCCATGGGGAAAAACAGGCCAATCAGACACATTAAGAACTTAATAGTGTCAGTGGAACTGTTTATGTCGGATGTTCATTGGACACGACCAGTCATTAGGGAGACTAAACTATACTAACTTTTTTTTGTAACCCTTTTGTAAATATTAGTTGATGCAACCAAATGGCTTCCTTCTTCATATACTGTGAAGAAGGCGCTATACTTATCCTAGTGACCTTACAGTCAGTGGTGCTCATCCAATGCAAGGGAACCCTCCACCAGCCTTCCACCACCTGTACTGTTCTCAGTACTCAAACACTATTTCTCACAGATGCTTAAGACAAGAGGTCCAATGTTCCTCATGGCATTCCCATTACAAAATGGCTGCACCAAATGTGTACTAAATGGGGCTTATTCAATAGGCAGTGCAAGAAGCCAAGGACAAGAAACTACAAGTAAAAGATGATTGGCAACGATACTAGAATTGTTTCTTGTATTGGTAAATTAAATAAGATGCTGGCTAACCCCTCCATAGTCCAAAGAAGGAAAAATAAACAGGCCTTGTACATAAAATAACCAGTGGCTGTGCTGATATCGTACCTGTCATATCAGCTATATGCTATGGGGGCAGTGTGCAGGTCCATGATCCCCGCACATTGGATTAAGGCACCACATGGCACCTTATGGGTATATAAGCCCTGTGTTTGCAGACCATATAGAATGGCAGGGTCTATTCATCATCTGTGGCTGGTGGTGCATATATATCAGGGTCTGTTCATCATCTGTGGGTGGTGGTGCATATATATCAGGATCTGTTCATCATCTGTGGGTGGTGGTGCATATATATCAGGGTCTGTTCATCATCTGTGGGTGGTGGTGCATATATATCAGAGTCTGTTCATCATCTGTGGGTGGTGTATATATATCAGGGTCTGTTCATCATCTGTGGGTGGTGGTGTATATATATATTTTTTAATAATATACTATTTTCACCTTTTTATATAATTTGTTCCATCTCCTCTGATCATCCACAGCCCCTTTCACCCACTTCCTGTCTATATGTACTGCCTCCAGTGCCGGCTGCAAGTCACTCCTATGGGTCGGCTTCCTGACAACAGCAGACCATGCCAGGGCAATGTGTGCTGGCACAGCTGCTTGCAGCCCTCATCAGTGGAATGGTTGACAACGCAGGAGCACAACTGGCAGACAGTTGTCAATCCTTAACAGGAAGTGTCAATGCTTAACAGGAAGTGCCTGAACAAAGACCTTCGTGGCAGGATCATCAGATGATTTTTTTTTTGCAGATTTCAGAGGATCGAAAGTGGCTTTTGACATGACGTTAACATGTTACAGGTTTTGGTGACTGGGTTTGAATCTACGTTAAGCAAACTATGCACATTACAAAATGAGGCATTTGCAATAGGAACAAATGGTGGGGTCTGTAGGAAAACATTTCATGGGGGTTCGGGCAATCTGCAAAATGGTGGTGGTGGGGGGCAGTCTGTGTAAGAGGGAATGCCAAATGTGCTTGTACTATGTTATATAGGCTTGTACACTACATCCACTGTATGTAATGGAAAGGCCTATCTCAACATTCCACTCGTTGTATATCCAGCCAGCTAGGTCCTCGCTGGACCCAGACGTTCATTGAAATCAAATGAAGACTGTACATTCTCATTCTTCACCTCACAAGGGTGGGCACTCCAGCTGTTGTGGAACTACAAGTCCCATGAGGCATTGCAAGACTCTGACCGACACAAACATGACTCCCAGAAGCAAAGACATGATGGAATTTGTAGTTTCACCACAACTGGAGTGCCAAGGTAGGCAAAAAGGCCAGTTCCTCCTTCAGACGGTATGATGAATAGGGCTATGTGTGAAAAGGGGCTACTGGGCCACCAAATGCACCTTTGTTTGTGCAATCTGCACCTATTCCCAGATTTACAAATCATTTGCGAGCCATGACCTCCATTTTGTGCTGCCTCTCGTAAAATACATCACGTAGATGAACTTCCTATATAAGGGCAATGAAGGAATTATACGGGACTGTTGAACTGTGTCTGTGTCTTTTTTTTTGGTGAAGTCCCCTCATCAACAACCACACCGCAACACGCACCTAAAACACGCCACGTTCTGTCACCCCTCCCACCTTCTCCCTCCCACCCTTAACAATAATTTAAAAATCACCCATTGAAAAGCTCCAGAAAAGTCGATTACACCCAAACGAATCAGTATTGTGGCTTTTTTTTCCTGAAATGAAGTTTTTTCGCTTCTCTCCTATTGGTCACGGCATACGCGAGCCACGTCTTTGTACACTGAAATAAAAACATGCCCCGGTGTTCGCTATACGTGGCCAGCAGATGACATTATCATAGGCTCAGGGAAGCAGAAGCTTGGAGACGTAGGTGGATGGAGGTGTAGGCACAAAAAAGCGTACTGCCTGGCTGGGTCATCCAGCGGATTGAGTCCCAAAGGGGGTTTGGAAAGGGCCGAAATAGGGAGAGACCTTGAAGTAGCAGTGCAGGGAGGTAGGTAGGAATGGCTATGTGATTGGTGACTGTAGAGAGGTAGGTGGGAGTCAATGTAGAGCGGACGTAGTTCATGGAGTGTCCTGAAGCTCCTCGTTGTGCCGGCACAGTTGTCAGAATGTGGCGATGGGTGATGGATCTCCCTGTCGGAGTTCTTACAGTGCAATGCCTGAGTGTCGGACTGACCCCCCCCCAATTTTTTATTTTCTCCCTCCTGCCCTTCCTCCCCGCTTTCTTCATTCTGTGCTATACGCGGACAGCCGACACCGATCCCGCAGTCAGTGGCACGCGGGATCCGCAGTCGTAGTCCAGGTCCACCACCGTGTGAGCTCCGGTGATCCGGCCCCGAGAGGAACCCGACTGCTGGTCTCGGAAACTCTGAATGTAGCTCTGAGGAGGAAGAGGGAGATGTGTTAGCAAGGAGGAGTAACTGACAACAAATGTGAGCATTGCTAAGGGCTCACTTACCAAATGAATGTGTTTCAGTGTATAATAAAGGCCTCATTCACACGCGAATAGGCCGCACGTTCAGCTCTGTGCTTCGTATCGGCCGCTCCCGGGAAGGACAGGTGCTGCGTGTGATTAGTACGCAGCCCCTGTTCTTCTCTATGGGAGTACGCGGCCATACGCCCCCCCCCCTACGCTCACCCGCCCTGCACGTCCATGCGCGTGCGGGTGTCCGTACTCGTACGCTGACAGGATGGATCCTGTCTGCGTCCGAGCCGGGACACCTGCACCCGTACGGACCTGCACTTGGGTTGAGCTTACGGCGGCGTAGTCCCATAGAGAAGGACAGGGGCTGCGTACTAATCACACAAAGCACCTGTCCTTCCCGGGAGCGGCCGATACGGCCCTCCACGCAGCACGGAGCTGTACGTGCCGGCCTTTTCTTGTGTGAATGAGTCCAAAGAGGAACGAGCTGCCGCAGGTCTCCAAGAGCCGTAATATGCAAACATGTACGTCATACTTGTACCTTATGGCAAATGATGACCAGGGGCTTGGTGCAAACCCAGTTCACTTAAGCTCGTGGATACCTTCCTGGCCCAACCAGATGCGGCAGGGACATTTCCTGCTTTGTGGCTATGGGACAGGAAATGCACCTGCCCCAACTGATTGAGCAGAGAAGGGGGAGTGTCAATTATAGTTTTGCGTGAGCTCAAGTGCACACAGGTGGACTAGGTTCACACCAAGCCCCCGCACATTACACATGGCAAACTTACTTCTTAGTTTTCCCTCTTCTACCAATGAAAGGACCGTGCTCCCCATCTTCATTGTTGCCATCGTCTCCGCCCCCTCTGGACAGGCATGCTTTTTCTTTGGCCCTTGGGCCTACACTGATGATGTAACTCCCGTGCATGTGGGCTGGAGTTACATTGTCCGGAAACTTGGCTGAACTTTCAATAGAGGCTCCAGGAGTGTAGACTGCACTGCGCATCCACCGAACCAAAGAATTGCTAGCAAACAGGTACAGGAGGTTTTTTTGCAGAAGAGACAAAGTATCTTCTAAAAAGTTTACCCGCTAGGAATTTTGGGAGGAGGGACTTCAGTTCCACTTAAAAGCCTAACACCATTTTTTTTTAGCTTTGGACAAAGTGGGGAAGAGTTTTCTATTTCTGTGTCAGACCCCATTGGGGAGATTCTCTGATCTGTCCAAAACAAACTAAAAAAGTTTTGGACGAAGTTGCAAACACTGCAGTGTGCTGTCTGTGTCTGCTGCTCATGGTGTGGTGTGTGGACTGCCTTGCTCCGGACTGCTGGAATCCAGCTCTAATGAAGAAGCAAGGTCTCAGCCCCCGAAACATGTTGGCTTTGTGTGCAATCTTCCGGATTTTACAGTGGAATAAACTTCTATCTGGTTTAAAGCATCAGATACAGCCAACACGTTTCAGGGGAAAATGATTCACTCCTTCTTCGGGGCTTAGACAAAGATTAGTGATACAAAGACCATCTTCACACTATTGGACTGTAATAGGAAACCTTTCAAGTAGAGATGCAGCGATACCAGTTCAGATACCAGTGCCGATACTTGGCATTTTCATGAGAACTATCAGGGTTGCAGCGGTTGCAGCTGGGACCTGGCTCTGGCGCTCCACCACTGTCCTGAAATCATTAGTCTGTATTGTTTTAGAAAAACTGTCACATGACAATAAACAAAAATGTATCAGTACTTGTACTTGCAAAACTGGTATCTGTGCATCTCATATATATATATATTATTATTTTTTTTAAATACGTTAAAACAGAGATGTACAAATCCCGGGAGCTCCGTGACTGCTGCCTCCTAACTTCTGAATTTTTCTCTAGTCTAGTCCTGGAGCTGGAAAGGTATCTGTACTTGTACTTGTACCGAGTACTGTACTTGGTATCGGTGCATCCCTACTTTTAAAGGATCCAGTGCCATCCCTATCCACTCCCTGTCAGAGACAGCGGACATCCCAAAGTGGGTAGAGCCAGAGCCATAACTAAGTGTGATAGGGCCCCACAGCAACACCATTAAGGGGTCACCTGTCTCTCTAATCTCCATTTCAAAGGCAATTAATGATACAGAAATGTAAAAGTAAAATCACAAACCTTATATAGAGTACATTCATTTCCTAAAATGTATTTGCCCCTGTGCAAATAGCTGTGGGCCCCATAGGAGTGGCATGGTCTGCTATGACTAGAGGTCCACCTTTAGGTTGAGTTTCATCAGGTACACATGGCACTCATAACGATGGTCGTAATGTAACTGAGGAGAACAGAATTTAGTGTGCTGTGTATACGGTTATAACAAAAAAGGTCAGACTCCATAGACTGCTCGGCCCTCATCTGCCATCATCGTATGTTTTAATATTTCTATCCCATAACCCCTAACATGAGGGGAAGGTGGTATTAACTAATAGGAAGGACATAACAGAACACTTACGGGGGAAATGACATCGCCATCAAACCGGCGGATAGGAGTGGGCTTCCTCCGGAAGGCGGGCTCGGGCGGGTGGGGTGCTTTGTTCTGAGGATGAGGGTGATGGTGGTGCGGCTTCTTCTTCTTCTTCTTTTTCTCCTTACGTTCTTCTCTCTGTTTTATCTTCATGAGTTGGACCCGACGCTGCTGCCGGCTAATGATCACTGGTAGGGACAAGGAAAGGAATAGGTCACGTTGTGTGTGCCGTATTAGATTACAACATTTACAAACACAAGCTCCCAACTGTCTGTCCATCATTTGGAGGGACTATCAATCTTTTTTTTTTTTCACCAAATCCCTCTGTTCTTCTTCTTGTCCCTCTTTGTGGTCTGATGAATACACCTGTATAAATGTGTTGTTCTATAAGTGTTATATTCCACTAAGAATAAATAAATTAAAGAACTATGGGGTAAGTGTTTTTCCCCATAGTTTTTCTAAGGGTCACGGGAGGAGATATACTAGCGTTCTGCCGTGACCCAAAGCTCAGTATATAGGGAGCTACAGCTCGCGGTATACTGAGATCGCCGCAGCTGGGACGGATCCCGACATTACTGTCGAGATCCTCCCAGCTGTGTGATTGACAGCTGGCTCTGCCTATCTAGAGGCAGAGCCAGCTGTGCCTGCCCCCTCCCCTGTCTGTTTCGCCAGTCAGCGCTGGAGGATCGGAGTGGGAAGGGGGCGGGGGAAATCCCTGCAGGGAGCAGTGACTGGCAGCCACGGCTCTCTGCAGGTAGATGATCGAGAAGTGAGCGTGCGATGGTATGCGTTCGCTCACTTCCCGATCTATTGAGCCGACGTGTGACAGTTTCATTGTCACACATCGGCTCGAACTATGAGGATGAGTGAAAATCACTCACCTCATAGTTCTCCTTTAAAACCAGGAACCAGGGACCTTACTTCAAGGATCCGGGGCCTTCTCCTGCCATTTTAGGGCAGTTTCCATCACTACATTCATATACAATAAGAAGGAATTGTGATGAAAAATGTTTTCTTTATTGGCTCCATAAACGTTTTCAGATAATAATATAACACATCGCTTTTCTCCTATTTCAGACAGGAGAACATTGTCCAAACAGGCCCTACTCGTCCAACTAAATCCTATCCACCTGTGCTGCCACAATGGTGCATAGAATATGACAATCCATAGCCATGCTTAATGTTCACATTAGTGTGAGATGAGAATTTATATAGTTTATTTTCCCTAAGCCCTTTACTTATGGATATTGTATGGCTAAGTTCATGTACTGCCATCTAGTGGTTATTTTGGTTATTGCACATGTTTTTCTGTGTTCCCTTCCCTCACATCTATGATGTATTTCCCTTGTGTGTAATGCTCCGCCCTTCTTCTTCAATAGTCATTTCCTGTGTCATGGCTGCCTGTAACAGGATCACATGTTAATCTGCATTGCATGCTTGGAAACATTATCATCTTTGACCACCTTAAATACTGCCAATTCATTCATCTGCTGTATTCTGGTGTCTGCTGTAACCTGATGTACAGAATAAAGCACCTTTGTGGATGGAAACGGTATTTGGTGAGTTCAGCTATCTAATGAGGATTGTCCGCAATGATTATATCGGCTTATAGAGGCCAGGCATAGAGGTCTCAGCAAGGGCTAAATCGCTATTACAACAGAGTCAGAATACCACCTTTTGGGAAATCCACATAGTAGTGGTTCCTCAAAGAGTATAGAAGAGCTCTATCACCATATTGCACCGTAGAAGGTGTTAATGATGAATGGACTGTGTACAGTTTATTATAGAGCAGGGGTAGCCAGACTCCGGCCCTCCAGCTGTGGTGAAACTACAAATCCCATGATGCATCTCTCTCCGGTCATGTCTGTGAGGATCTTGCCATGGGATTTGTAATTCCACCACAGCTGGAGGGCCGGAGTTTGGCTACCACTGTCATAGAGGATCCCCAATTCTGCAAAGCAATTGTATCAAGAAAATCAAATTTATATGTCCACATGTCATTCCGAGTATCCAAAAATCTAGATATCCAATTTGCAATTATGAAATCTTTTACAGACTCTCCAGATGCAGCAAAATGTAGTTCAATCTATTATTACACTAAGGGCTTCATTCATAAAACTTAGGGATTTCCTAAACTCGTCAGCGCCATTTAGAGGAAAGACATCTGCCCGGCTATACGCTATGAAGCCTTTAATCTTTCATCCAACCTTTTATTCAAACTTTAAGTGATTGTATTTTTTATTTCGATGAGCCGGTAGTAGTGGTGAAAGAAATACTTGTGGTTACAAGCAATCATTTTTGGAGTAGTAACTTGTTGTGGTCCTCTGGGGGCATGGCGGGGGCGTGTCCTCTGCCTACACACTTTGTAATAAATGGCGCCCCTTTCTCATCTCAGAAAATTGGCCCTGGAAACCCATATAATGGAGACACTCTATCATTAAACTACCTTTAAAGAAGAACTCCAGATACATAAAAAGTTAACTGCTCATTTCTCTCTAGGGGCCGGAATACAGAAGATATATTCACCTGATCCTCGGTCCTGCTGCAGTGAGTGCTCATCTCTCTACCCCTCTGCTGCGGTAGAGTGCAATGCATACCAACCAATCAGATTTCTGCTTTCTTTCTCATCATCTACCTTTTCTGATTTGCTGCTGGAGCTCACTGCACTTAGTACATTACAAATGCTTGTTGAATGAGCCCTATAAATAAGAGGCAGACCTTCCAACATGACCCCCACCGTAATAACACTCTGCTCCTGAACTTCTCTCAGTGAAACAGGCAAAGAGCTCAATACGCAGATAAAAATACCTATATGCAGGTCCCCATAATGAGGTAGCCTGAAGCTGTAGCCACAGGCAGCATCTCTTTGGGTCACATGATGGAGCGCCAGGCAGAGCGGCATGGCCACTCTTCTGCACAATGTTTTCAGTGTACCTGCCACCCCCTCTCTGTCCAGAGGGTCCCAGGTTGCTATGAGCCTATGGGATATGGACCGGCATCCCACTCAGCTCCTGACAACTAGTGATGTCATTATAGGTACCTGCAATACCTATATGCAGGTCCCTATAATGAGGTTTCCTGAAGCTGTAGCCACAGGCGGCATCTCTTTGGGTCACGTGGTGGGGCGGCAGGCAGAGCGGCATGGCCACTCTTCTGCACAATGTTTTCAGTGTTCCTGCCACCCCCTCTCTGTCCAGAGCGTCCCAGGTTGCTATGTGCCTATGGGCCAGCGTCCCACTCAGCTCCTGACAACTAGTGATCTCTCTGGTTGCCAGGAGCTGGACAAGACGCTGACCAGAGCTGAAGCCAGGTTGCTAAGAGTTGGGTCACTCTGGCCGGCGTCTCACTCAGGTCTTGACAAACAGTGATGTCATTATAGGGACCTGCAATACCTATATGCAGGTCCATATAATGAGGTAGGCTGAGGCTGTTGCATCTCTTTGGGTCATGTGGTGGGGCGGCAGGCAGAGAGGTATGGCCACTCTTCTGCACAATGTTTTCAGTGTTCCTGCTACCCCTTCTCTGTCCAGAGAGTCCCAGGTTGCTATGAGCCTGGCAGGGAGATGTGTAAGGTCCATACACATCTCCCC